TTCAACAAATTGCAACTAAGAATTTCTAACACTCCTGCTTTTGTGTTGCATAGATAACAAAGTTTAACCAAAACTAACCAGAAACAGAAAATGTGTTGTCAGATCTGGTGGCACAGTCCAGCTGCTGGGTGAGAGACTGCAGCTTGGCCTCCTGAAGCACTCTCAGCACCTGACACACTGGACTCGCTCCCCACACCTTCCTGGGAGCTTCTGCTTCTAGTTCACCCATCTTTATGACCTCCCCCACCGTTTGATCTGTGAGGAACCACGTGCAGAGAGATGATGAACACGGACAACAAAATACAGCAACGGTTCACAGGAAGTGTGCTCTTCCTCTCACTCTTAGCAGATACTTACCGATGGTGGTGATGCACGTCTCCTCTAGGGTTTGCTGCGCTGCTGGGAAAACAAGTGGAGTACCTGCCTCCCACTTCTTCCTGTCCCCAGCAGAGGAAGGTCTGTCCTCTGGTGATGCTGAAGAGGATAACATATGGAGTTTAGAGTGAGTGTCATTTAAGACGTGATGAATATGTGGTATAACGTATTGTTTATTGCAATAACTTGAGTAGTTGCACTGAAGAAGATCTGGAAGGGCTTGACCATGGCACAGAAAGATCAAATCTATCTCCAGTCTAAACTTACTGTCCGTCGTGGGATTTGTCTCCTCTAACATGTGAGGAGGCTCAGGCAGAGCGGGGAGCTCTGCTGCTTCCCATTTCTTCCGGTCACCATCCAAAGTGGGACTTTTCTCAGCGTCAGACTGCTTCTGCTGGACATCAGGACTTGGTTCTGCAGGTGCAGGTGGAGACTCCATCTTGTCCACCGGGTTCAGTGCCTTTAGGTTCTGGTTGAGTCTGTTTAGAATCTGCTTCTTCTCACTCTGGTGGAAAGAAAACATGAAGGTTGGTTCAAAATAATTCATTTTGTTTGAATATGTAGAGGAAAATAAATGAAAACACCTGAATCGCTGCTGCTGTCTCTGGTTCATGCAAGCTTTCTTTAAGCGGACTAATCTGCTGAACAAAAGGGACTAAATGAATACAGACAACAACTGCAGGCTCAAACAGTGTGTGTATTATGTACGCATACACTGATGGCTCCGACGTTCTTCAGAGCAGCAGTCATGGATATAGCCGAGGATGAGGGCTGGGCTGATGTTTTGGCAGTGTGTTCTTGCTGGGGGTCCCAAGGTTCTGGAGGTCGAAGGTCAGAGACAGGCGATGCTTCTGCTACAATGCCCAACTTCACACCTCGAGCTGCAGCAAGCTTCAGTGACAAGCAGCACAAATATTAAACTTAACTAAATTAAAATGTTCGGTGAAAGTTTTAGTTGAGCAAAATAAAGATGTTGTGTTTAATAAATCATGAAGCCTACATGGTCGTCCCAAGCTCTCTTTTCCCTCTCAAATGCTTCCCGTCTCTTCTTCTCCAGCTGCTCTTTCAGAACAGCGGCTCGCGTGTTGGCCTGAGCCTGACAGGAACAAACATAAACAAACAAACACAAAAGGGTCAAACCTTTCCCAGTACACCTCAGACCTTCTAATGCTCATCAGAGCCACCGCGTAAGCCTTGAGGTCAGAAGCTTTACACCATGCATACCCACCTTTAAAACCTCTATTTTCTTTCTTCTGAGCTCGGCCTCCTCACTAGATTCTTGGCTATCAGAGCCATCGCTGTCATACTAAAAAACACAAACACCAACTATAACCGGGAGCCTAGAAGTCTGAGAGCATGAAGCTGCTTTCATTACAGGCACAGGTAAGACTATAAAGGTGTAGGAAGTACCTTCTCCCCTCTCAGTCGGGCTTTGATCTGCTGACGCTCATTGAAGTTCTGCAGTCGGATCTGCCTGAGTCTTGCCAAGTACTCCTGAGAACAAGTACCCATGTTGAAGTTTACTACTAATGGATGCAAAAACTCCTGTTTATACAAACATTCACGCATGCACACAAACTCATGCATTTGCAACTCATGAAATTAGTGCACGGGTCACGCTTGCAAACAAGAATTCCACAAAAAGGCATTCGTTAAATTCAAATGAAAATCTGATTACAAAACTGGAATGAGTATTTGAAATGGAAAACAGCCACTGCTGGGTTGAAATAACCAGCTCACACTGGACAGCCAACGTGACTGAACTGTTTGTCAAAGGGAGGTTTGTGCAGACAAACTGGGCGGGCCATAGGTGAGACGGGCCGTAAAGCCGGGCATTCAGGTCCGGGCTCCTACCTCTTCCTCTCGGTTGACTTTGGGCCGCCGGCACCGAGCTGTACTGGCCCAGCTTCCATAGATGGCAGCCATGTGTGGTCGAGTGCCCTGTCCAGCATTCAATGTAACCACGCTTTAGAAAGTGAAGGTCCTAACATCTAACAAGCATGGTTAGAGAACGGCTCAAATTAACCACCCACTGATGGATGTAATCACCTCAACCCCTTTAACACTGCACGATAATCAGAAATTAAACCTAGTTTATTTTCTACGTCTACACAGAAAAAAGTACTTTGTAAATTATTAGAAAGTGCTCTTATGTATTCACCTCTTTGCTATGAAGCCATAAAATAAGACTCAGCCCTAACCCTCAGCTCACAATTACCTTAGATTTAATTAAAAGGTGCAATCACACCAAACCCTCTAAAGCAGCACTAAAAGTAGACCAATCCTGGATTAGATTTACTGGATTTGTTGCTTTTCAAACAACCAAAGCACTCACAGTATTTGGAGCTTTTTAAGAGTAAGAATAGCTTTTTTGGTCCCTCAGTGGGGAAACTGCCTTATTGCAGCAGCTCAAGGACAGAGGGTGACAGCAGTAGCACAAAATATATCACACGAGAGTATAATTGTAAATGAAGATAATCGAAATGATTATTGCACATAATGATAGTAATATTTTATGATTTGATGTTTCCTCATAAAAACAAAAAAACATGCTTTTGACTGCATTGATGCACTTTCCTGTTTCAAATGCAAATTTTGAGTTTTAATTTGAAAATCCCATAACACGTCAGTGGAAACTAAATCTCATCATCAGGCTCTGCTCCTCTCCCAGAAGCTAGTCTCTGGTCTGAAACCCGTCTGCCCTGGCCAGCACAGGACATGGGCCTTAAAGGCGACTGGCATCATGTAACAGACGTGGTGGTCCAGAGGTGTGAGTGCTAGGCTGGCATGGAGCGTTGCACAGGCGCACATCCCGATCCGAGCACCAACCTTGGATCATTGTTTTAGCTACACTTGCCACTATGATTTCAACACTTAAACTATTTAAAATATAAAGGCTAATAAATGAGCATAGAAAGCAAAAAAATAAATAAAATACAATAAAATAAAAAGAACGTTACCAGCGTGAGTCCATGTGAGGTGAGCAGAGTACGTAAACTAAAACTCTGCTGGGAAACGACCAAATTCTAAAATGTTTGGACACAAAATATTTTGCAGAAAATAATCCATAAGATTAAAATATAAAAACATGAAATCTGTTTCAGCTGGCTAAGTAAATCAGCGCAGACACCACCAGGACTCGAACTGAAATCAGCACATGGCACAAATGAGCTGCCAGGCAGACGCCTTAACCACCGAGCTTCCATAACCAATACACCCACGGACTCGCCTAAGACGCTGTGGTACGGACATTTTGTCAGAGTGGGCATGGGCGGAGTTTCACTGAAAGCCTTTTATCGCTGGGTTTAAATTCAGGCTGATGAAAATAACTTGTATTCAAGATAAATGACATCTCAAAATTGCCAACAGTAATATTTTATACTGTGCCTATTTTTGCTCTCAAAGGTTTAAAATAGCATGATTTGTAACCTTTAACTCTAAAGAATGTATAAAATTGAATTATTGTTTACAGAACAACTTCTAGCTCCATACATCATTAAAATAGGTTTGATGACAGGACTCTTCATCACAGCAAAACCACACTAAAGCAGTGGGTGGCAGTATCATGCTGCGGCCTAACCCTAACCCTGCACATGAATAGAGGAAAATGCAAACAAATCCATCCATCCATCCATTTTCTGAACCCGCTTGTCCACGTGGGGTCGGGGGGGGCGGGGGGGGGGGGGGGGGGGCGCACACACACACACACACACACACACTTAAGGCCAATTTTGGACAGCCCAATCAACCTAACAGTCATGTTTTCGGACTGTGGGAGGACGTCGGAGCCCACTCCATGCAGAAAGATCCCAGGCCGGGAAGCGAACCCAGGACCTTCTTGCTGCAAGGCAACAGCTCTAACCACTGCGCCACTGCGCAAAGAAATGAAGGAATTTTTACTTCAGTCTCAAAGAATTGAGATCCTTCTTAAAGGTTTCAGCCTAAAACAACCTTAATAAAACAAAGAGATCACACTCTTTGTCATTTTTATCTTTAAAATATTTTAAAATATTACACTAATGTTTAAATATCAGCAACACGTGTCAAATATAGACGTCACCTCCAAACCCTGTGTGTCTAACCTAACAACCAGTTCACAACGGGTCATTTCTGAGCCCAGGAGTAAAAAGATGGTCAGCCATAAGAACGGTGCCTTCCTACGTACCAGCTGTCCTTCAGCTCTAACTTTATTAAGCATGGCTTCCTTCTTCCTCTGTAAAAACTCCTTGACCTGAAAGGTCCGCTCTGCAGCCATCTGGGCCCGGCCCAGCCTGGAAAACAGAACACTGGAACGTTGAAGCAAATAATGCATTTATCATTTCTTTTTATTGAGATGCATGCGCTTCAGCTCAACTCACCGACTAATGTGGGCTTGTTTTGAAGCATGCTGTAACTTCTGTAGTTCTCTTCTGATGACATCATGATTCAGGCATTGAGTGGGGCTGTTGGACAGCACTGGGCCTGCAGCAGCCACACCACCACTGGAAAAACACCAACAAAGCTTTTACATTTATCTGATACAACCCAAACTGCAGTAAAGGAAGTGGAAAAACATGCGTTTACTGAACGGGACTGCCAGGTCCTGCTGAAGCGCCGTCCCTGCTGCGGTCTTTGGACTGTGACTTAGCCGTTTGATCCAGAGCAGCGTGGTAGTGTTCATACGGCCTCTTGTTAGGGATGGGGGCTGGGGCTGGAGCTGGGGCCAAATGGGAGCCTCGGACAACAGCGGCAACGCCTGCAGCGCGCTTACCCCCCATTAAACACTGGACACAAACATTTGCTTTGAGTTAAATAAATCAGAGCTTTTAAACACAGACATAACATTTTATGCAAGCTACCTTCCTCTCTGGGCTGCTACCTCCACTCGAACCCAGTACATGCTTCCATCCTTGTTCTCTGGCTTGGTTTATACGACTGATCTGCAAGAAATCCCATTTCTCACTTTTCATTCAGCTTGAATCATATCACGGCTTTTGTGGTCAGGGTTAGTGAAAGTAAAATATAAAGCTGAGCCACATTTCAGCCCAAAGCTATCCGACTCCACCTTAGCTTGTAGGAAAAGCAGTTTCTCACCTTTTCCTTCTCATACCTCTTCACTTGCTCTGCTTTCAACAGGAACATCTGGAAAGCAGAGAGTAGAAAACTACAAAGCTCAATAAATAAAAAATGAATACAAAGAAACTAAACTGAATGCTCACCTGCTCTTTCTGTTTTCTTTCTTTCTCCGTCTGTTCCATCTTTTTCTTTCTGATTCCCGCCTGTAGAGGAAAACAGGCGTCACACACAAAATATGTTCTAGAAAATACGGCTGAGGTTGCAGGGCTGCTCTGTCACAGGGAAAGGTGCTTAATGAAAAAGCTAATCCAAGCAGAGCACTTGTGTTGGTCTGGAGTGGAAAATGGGACAATCACGCATAACGGGCGAGGGGAAAACTGAAAGTGGTGGTAACAGGACACCCAAGTGTGTGTGTGCGAGAATGAAAGAAGACGAAGGGAGGTCTAACGGGGATTAAGGTATACGGGTGCTCAGCTGTACCTCGTGTTTTTTCCTTTCCTCCTCCCCTTGACTCGGTCTCCTCTGAGGGGCTGCTGGGTTTGGGGCCTGAGCAACATACGACATGTGGCTTCAGAGTTAGCCGGCACAGTGTGATGCCACAACACTCAGAAACAGGCCCATGGGAGCCGGATGAGATTCAAGACAATGAACTTAACCGTTGATCAGCCTAAAGAAAATGACTGACCGGTTTGTGTTTTACAGCAGATTTCTTCTCCGATGAGCTCTTGGCTCCAGTTAAAGGCACTCCATATTTGGAAGCTGGTTTTGTAATTTTCTGGGCTGGAGCATCAGAGTGTGAAAAGAAGAGAAGCAATTCAGTCAAATAAAAAAACAATAACAGCTTGCTTTCACAGCACATAACATACAATAACTACAGTACACATAATATCCCTAAAAACATGAGGTGTAACACAGTTTGCCTGTCCTGCGCCGGCCGGCTGCTGCAGCCTGGTGGATGAGACGAGTACATGTCCACACCTGTTAAAGCATGGACTAGCCCACGTAGCTTAATGTGACACGTAGTTCTTCTGAATTTGACCTTTCTTAAGGATTACAGTATTTGTGTTTTCAGAATAGGGTTTAAAGAGCAAGTCACCCCCAAATCAACTTTTTTTTGCTGATAAACTAAATAAATGTGTGTCTAATCGTGCTGCAGACACGTGAAGTCAATAGTTTTGCACTTTAGTGCATTTTAGTTAAAATTAAAATTTTCTGCCTAAAACTGTCAGTGTTGTGCCGTTGTCAGGTAAAAACTCTGCACTGCATTTGAATTTAAATCTGCCACTGCTATTGGCTAAGAGGTACCCTAGAACGTTAGCTGGTACCATATGACGTCACAATGTCATTGTGAGCCTGTGTGTGTGTATTTGTTAGCGGCTCCGCCCTCTCGGTCTGCTAGGCAACAGCATTTGTTGCATTTTTCAAACAGGAAGTGGGAGTGGAGTTAGACTCTGGTAGGGGGTGACTTGCTCTTTAAAGCAAGCAGCTGCATAACTGAGTGAAGACAAGGGTCAGGGTCATGAAGCAGGATTAAAGTCCGACAGCGGTAACTCCAGACTCATCTGGAGGTTTCACAAAGCTGTGTCATGCCTCTGTGGGACGCATCACCATAGCAATTACTGTAAAGCTTTGGTTCATTTCAGGGCTGTGGTGTGAATTTTGACACCTTGTTGGTTGGAGTTTAGGACTCACTGCAGTCTTCATGCTAAATCTGAGGGATAGGACAAGGAACAATGCTAGAAGTTATTAAATTATTTCCCACACACACACGTTGTCATTTTAATAAAACCAAAGCAAACTCATTCATGTCTCGATCATGTAGTGCTGACAAAATAACCGATTTAGATTAAACTCACAGAAGAAAATCCCTGAACTTGCATCTATAACAAATTACATTTTTGCATCAGCCTGATTCAAGATGGCGGTCGCAGCTACAGGATATTAGAAAGCATGGCTTTAGTCAATTTTACAGATGATGGTCTACAACAGCTGAGCATCCTTTACCACATGTACTTCAGCGTCTACCTGATCTTATGATAACGGACAGTCGTTTAAGATTTGACAAAAACTGCTTGAACGTATTTACTCCCTCAACACGAGGTGGTTTTATGTTTAAACCGCGAAAGGCAGATTGGGATTTGCATTCATTTGAGCAACCTAGGCCTTCAACACGATTCCAGATCTTTTCAGTGATGGACACTGAAGCACATTTCCTTATAATTTATTCTTCTTCTCTTCTCCAGGTGATTTTTGAGGATTGAGATATTGTTTATTTGTTTCCCTACCAACAGGTTTTAAATGCCATTCATGGCAACTGTGACAACTGAACTTTAACTGTTCCAGAAGTCAAAGCATCACCTTACAACAGACTGAGATTCGGGCAACTGGTTGTAAAGCTTACTTAGTTCATGTCCACTAGCTTCTCTTTCAGACCTTCTGACCCAATTTAGTTATTTGTCTTTGATTACATCAATAGCAAAAACCTTTGGACTCTAACGTCATGAAGAGTAAGGCAACATTGTGCACGATTTTAAATTTATCCAATAAGGTAACATTAGAGAGGATGAGACGGGCAATGCTGCACAACTTCACCTACCTGATGGCACTTGTGCCAAACCCACTTTAGGCTGCTTGTGAAGAAAATGATGGCGGAATTCCTGAGCGATGATCTTGGGGGGGGGGGGGGGGGGGGGGGGACAAGCTTTTTTAAATGACCAAAGTTTGGTTTATAAAGACAAGGAAAGCATAGTAAAAGATAAAATCAAATCTACCTGTGGTGTGAGAAACTTCTCTATCCTGCAGAAAAGGAAAGGCTTGTCCAGTACGCTGCTGACTGAGGGCCTCTCTCGGGGGTTTCGTTTAAACAGCTGCGCCAAGAGAGACCGCAGTTCTTGGGAGTAGTGAACAGACACAGGAGGGAATGAACCACGAATGATCTTCAGGACCAAGTTCTTCATGTTGCCAGCTTCAAACTAAAAGGAAACACACACACACGACTATTTGTATAATGAATGAACATGTTTAAGACAATAGAGTGGAAATCAACAGCACGACATTTCTGAATGTCAGATTTGAAACCAGAGTGTTTGCAGCCAAGAGCAGAATATATGAGTGAACACTGCAGGACTACAAAGAATGCATTAAAATGTGCACCGATATGTGAACAGCTTACACACAAATACTTACTGCATGCTTAAGAGTGCACATTTCATAGAGGACACATCCTAGGGCCCAAATGTCACTGCAGAAGGAAGGACAGTAGGGAAATAAGGTACACATGAACAGGCAGGGATGGCAGTCAGGGAAGGTTTACGTTCACAGAGTAGGCTATTAATAGTCACTTTTCAACCTGATATTTAATGCATGTTAAACTGATTGGGGCCTATGTGAAAACTCCTGACTAAGCACTGGAATAGTTAGAATGACTAAAGTAGACACCATGAACACCTAAAACAGGCAAGGAAGAAAACAGTATTAGCTTTCTGCAGTATAAGTATCACGAGGTGACCATGCTGACATCACCAATAAGCAACACAATCCTGCATGAACTCACTGTTAAGAGTGCGGATATGAGGACTAAGAGGTTCTAATTTAAAGAGCAAGTCACCCCTACCAGAGTCTAACTCAACTCCCACTTCCTGTTTGAAAAATGCAACAAATGCTGTTGCCTAGCAGACCGAGGGGGCGAAGCCACTAATAAATACACACACAGGCTCACAACGACATTGTGACATCACATGGTACCAGCTAACGTTCTAGGGTACCTCTTAGCCAATAGCGATGGCAGATTTAAATTCAAATGCAGTGCAGAGTTTTTACCTGACGACGGCACAACACTGACAGTTTTAGGCAGAAAATTTAAATTTAGACTAAAATGCACTAAAGTGCAAAACTACTGACGACACGTGTCTGCAGCACGATTAGACATGCATTGATAATTTATTAGAAGACAAAAAAAGCTGATTTGGGCGTGACTTGCTCTTTAAATGAAGGAAACACCGAAACACTGTTGATTCAAACTCATCCATTACCTTTTGTTGTTGTATGGTTTGTTTTCACAAATCTCTGGTGATAAATAATATGGTGTTCCTATGCATGTCCTCGCAAGATCAACAGTGCTGAAAATGAGAGGAGAACAACGTTTTTGTTGTCTTAACAAGTTTAAATGTTGTCCTTACGAAAATCAGCAGAAGGCACTGAACACACCTATTCAAGACTCTCGCAATTCCAAAGTCACCAAGCTGTACGGTCCCATCTTTTGTCAAAAATATGTTCTGTGCAGACATATTGACAACATTAAACAAACAAATAAATAATAGAATAAATAGCCTGTAAACCACAGATGCACAGAAAACAGTACCTGTGACTTAATATCCCTGTGGAGGATTTTTCGATCGTGTACATGCTTCAGAGCGAGGCAAATCTGGACAAACCAATCCAAGATCTTGGAAAGACAGAAAAAGGGCAAACCAAACAAGGAGGTATCAAAACAGAAATCACCATCGCATAATTCATTTAACACAAACACAGCTATTCAAAAATAATTACTCCATAGAGTTACAGCATCAAAGCTTACCTGCTCTTCTGAGAACAAAACTCCTTTTTGAGAGTTGATCTTCCTGAAAAGGTCTCCACCTTCACAATAATCCATCACGATGTACAAACATCCCCCTTCTAAAAATTCGAAGTGATATTAAACACACACACACACACACACACACACACACACACAGATTATTGTAGTACAATTATTGTATTTCATCACAACAGGTGAACTCTGAATTATGTAAATACCTTCAAAAGACTCCTTATACTGGACAATATTGGGATGACTCATGTTGGCAAGAACAGCAACCTCTCTGCGAGATTCCTGCCTCTCTTTACTTGACATCTATAAAATTATATACAACTCATGTAAATTCATGGATTAACATGAGGAGGTAACTCACCCATGGAAAACGTGAATTATGCAAAGCATCTTACACCAGATATGCCAATCTCCTTGATGACATACTGGTGTCCATCTTCTTTGGATTTCACCAGGATAGCCTTTCCAAATGAACCTTCCCCGATTTTCTTCACCTTTTCGTACTTGTCCATGTTACTAGATAGGCTGACTTTACATGCTGAATCTGGAAATAGGAAAGTTCTGGATGATCTCTGTCTCTAAGCTTTGAATTAAAAGTTAGAAAACAAATGTCATTCATTAATCACAATTCTACACTAGATAAAACAAAAAGACATGAAGGGAGTCAGAGCAGTGATGCTGAGAGTCAACACTGCCAGGTAGCTAACGCTGCTGACAGCTAGCTAGACGATGATTGCTACAAAAAACAAGAGTCCCGCTCAAAACCTGATGATAAAAAACGACCCTTACTTATCAAAATGACAAATTAATTACGAGAATAACATTTAACTTACCATTAGTTCCTCCAATCCTTGGAGTTTTGAAGAGATTCTAGAAATCGCTGCTAGCCTCACGCTCGAGCTGATGACGATGACTTTCTTTAGTTTTCATTGGACAATTTGACATTTCTCGAAAAGTGATTGGTTCCTACAGCTGTTGATCATCTCTCATAACCAACCCCCAATAAGGTTGTTGCTGTGAACATTTCCCTTAGCAACCACCATACAATTACAATAGCTAGCCACCGTTGAGGGATGTCGTTAAGCTTCGGCGTTACTCACTTTTTTTTTTTACTTGTCATGAATTCAGATACAGACATTCACACAAACTGTGTTTTTGTGACAAGCAGTGGCTAGATCAGAATTAAACTCGCTTGTTATGTACATACAACACAAGCGAGTAATGTTGATCTAGACCACTGAATAATTTAGAGTCCCTTCTGCTTACATTCTTTTCTTTTAGCACGGAGTAACACATTCGTTAAATTATCGACGTATATGCTTGTTACGCGTTCAATGTTGATGAGAACATTGACTTATTGACCGATGCTGGCAACACACCCAAAACAACCGCCCCAATGATAAATTAGGGTCACGTGACTGGCTCACGCACTCCTCCGTGTTTGATATATTGCAGTCCGAGTCGATGCAGATGACGCAGTGGTGAGGACTAGTGAAGATGGCTCCTTTTCCAGACGAGGTGGATGTTTTTACTGGCCCACACTGGCGAATGAAGCAGCTTGTGGGTCTGTATTGTGAAAAGGTGCGTAGATATCAATTTAATTCGTTAATTTTGAGTTTTACAAATGAAACCGATCGTTTTTCTTACTAAAGGATGACTGAGCGCAGGTTAGCATGCTAGCTAGTTGATGTTAGCTGGTAGTGTGTTTAGCTGTGAACCGAAGCAGATGAACTGTCGGATGTCTGGATTGCTCCTACACACGGATTCACGTGTTTTTAGTTAGACTTGTGTGGAAATGCCTGAGTTTTACTTGCCTTTAATGTTGTTGTATCAGCTCTTTTGTAACCTACTCGAAACACGCCTCTTGTAGTTTTAGTTATGTTCCAATTAACAGAGCTACTTTGCTAATGGGATTGGAGAGCAGGTTGCAAGTTCTCTGCCAATACGTGTCAGACTAGCATATTTAGGTCACCACTGCAGATATTTCTGTTAACGCGGTACACTGTGCACAATTACGTGAAGCATCTGTTAGCATAACTATGACAACAGAATTAACAATATTTCAAGTTTCACTACTGACCTAATTTTAGTTTTTTTTTCAGCTGTCTCAAACGAACTTCTCCAACAACAATGATTTCCGTTCCTTTCTTACGTCGCTGTGCGCCACCTTCAAGGAGTTCAAGATGCATGAGCAAATAGAGAATGAGTACATTATTGGCCTGTTGCAACAGCGTTGCTGCACGGCCTATAATGTGCATTCTGACAACAAACTTTCAGAGATGTTGTCCCTCTTTGAAAAGGGGCTGCAAAGCGTCAAGGTAACGTGTAAAATTTGTCAGACTAATTCACACTCATGCCAGTTCCACAGAATTACTGGTTGTTGCACTTTTAGAAAAACACCAGGCTTAACTTGAATGTAGATCATATACATATTTTGCTCAGCTGATGACAGGGCCGCACTGTGTCATTAGAGGTGACGCTGTTAATTTTCACATGCATGTAATTTATAACACTAGTGTATGTTTGAAATTTGTATTTGTTTTTTGAGTATTTTAAACATCTTATTCAGTAAAATTGCACGAAACATTTCATTGGCAGTTTTTCACATCTGAATTTAAAGAGCAAGTCACCCCCAAATCAACTTTTTTTTCCTGATAAACTATATAAATGCGTGTCTAGTCGTGCTGCAGACATGTGTAGTTAGTAGTTTGCACTTAAGTGCATTTTAGTTAAAATTTAAATTTTCTGCCTGAAACTGTCAGTGTTGTGCCGTTGTCAGGTTAAAAACTCTGCACTGCATTTGAATTTAAATCTGCCATCGCTATTGGCTAAGAGGTACCCTGGAATGTTAGCTGGTACCATGATGTCACAATGTGTGTGTGTGTGTGTGTGTGTGTGTGTGTGTGTGTGTGTGTGTGTGTGTGTGTGTGTGTGTGTGTGTGTGTGTGTGTGTGTGTGTGTGTGTGTGTGTGTGTGTGTGTGTGTGTGTGTGTGTGTGTGTGTGTTAGCGGCTATGGCCTCTTGGTCTGCTAGGCAACAGCATTTGTTGCATTTTTCAAACGGGAAGTGAGAGTTGAGTAAGTATCTGGTCGGGGGTGACTTGATTTTTTTGAGAAGAAAAACACAGGCAAGCCATCCTATTTACAAATGGTAAATGGCCTGCATTTGTATAATGCCTTCATAGGGTTCTGCAAGGTGTTTCACAACACAATCAGTCACTCACACATTCACACACTGGTGGGGATGAGCTACAATGTAGCCACAGCTGCCCTGGGGTGCACTGACAGAGGCGAGGCTGCCGAACACTGGTGCCACTGGTTTCTCTGACCACCACGAGCAGGCAAGGCAGGTTAAGTGTCTTGCCCAAGGACACAACAGCAGCATTCTCGTGTCGGAGCCGGGATTGAACCTGCAATCTTCCGATTACTTATTGGACAACCCGCTCTACCTCCTGAGCTACTGCTGTCCTAGAAAGTTCAGTCGAGGGGCAGAATCTACTGTTGTCTTTCAAACTGTCTACGCATACAATTGGACAACGAACCACTACGGTTGTCAGTCACGGGGCAGTCCGCCATCCACCGTCGAAGAAAACGCAAATTTCTAAATAAGGACTTAAGTCTAAATGGTCCAAAGTTGAGGCCAAAGCCATTATAAAGAGAATCCGCCGTAACCGTTTCGCTCCATTGCATCATCCCACCCACTAAGCACGGTGATTTAGCACACTGCAATACTGATCTGGTCTGCAGAGTCTGGACTGTGCAAAATGGCTTTGCTTTTGCTACTATCATCAAGACTTGTAGGCTATTGGATTTAGACATCAGTATGTGTCAAAAAGAGACCTGTTTTGTTTAATCTGCTAAAATGGATAAATTATAACGGGATTTCCAGATTGAAACTTTTGTGTAAATCTGAACTTGTGCTCTTCCAGTAGCAAAAACAAAAATGTTATTTGAGATCTTTCTTCGTCTCTGAAAGAAAAGCTTTCCTGCAGAAATAAATAATACTGCTTTGTGGTATTTGTAAGTATTGGTTAAATTCAATTTCCCCACAGTAAAAAAAATTATAACTTTGGGTCACAGTTTCTAACATTCCTGTTTCTGACACCTAAATTAAATCACCATAATCGCTTGTCACACAATGTTTACATCCTTTTAGATGTAAGATCACTCTCACTGATGAGGCAAAATACAAAAACAGTATCTAAGTTGTGTTTACTCTTCATACTCTTGGATATTTGAGACAGCGATCAGAAATAAATCGTTAAGTAACAATAATTGTTCTGTTTTTAGAGTGAATATGAGCAGCTAAACTATGCCCAGCAGCTGAAGGAGAGACTAGAGGCGTTCACGCAGGACTTTCTACCACACATGAAGGAAGAAGAGGAGGTACATGGTGCTCAGATTTATTAAACTCGTTTAGTCATTTCTGATTCTTTTCTGCATTAATTTATGACTGAAATGATCTTAGACAACTCTTGCTCTGCTACGACCGGTTTTTAAACAAGGGAGATTTGTTCTAGGTGTTTCAGCCTATGCTAATGCAGTACTTAACCTATGACGAGCTGAAGGACCTCAAGAAGCAGGTGATCGCGCAGCACTGCAACCAACAGCAATGTGAAAGTGCTGCTGAGGTGCTGAAGGGCTTCCGTCTGTGGACCCAGGCCGAGGAGCTGCAAAAGGCTTTTAAATATGCTGATCATGAGAAGACTGATTACGGTTAGTGGATATCATTACAGATGTCTCAACTTTATTACACCATGTCTCAGGGGTGGGAGGTGCACTCTGGTTTTTCATGCATCATGATGTAGGCACCAACAACTCTGAAATGTTCAAAATTTCATTTCTTAGCAGTATTTAATACCATAATGTCGAAGACTGTAAAAGGCAGAACAAAAGTGCACCATAAGTTCTACCTGTGTGCAATGAGTCATAACCGTGTGAATAGTGCACTATAGTGAATAGCTGAGAAAGACCTGGTGTTCCTCCATGGGAGCGAGCCGCCTTTGTGAGCCTCACTCTGTGTGACTTTTCAGCATTTTCTCTGTGAGAGACTCGGTTTGCTATCAGTTACTAATCCTGTAAGACATTATAATGACCTGTTTAATAGATCTGTCTGTCTCTGTAGAAGCTAAAAATTAGAATCTGGTACAAAATTTCATTTATGTCAATAATCCAACTCCGACTGAGAGACCATCTTAAGGCTCGGGAACCCTTTGCAGGTGTTCTGCATCCATTATCTGATTAGAGTGACACTTGAAGCTTTGTAAATCTTACCATTTTTTTTTCTGCAGTTAAATATCACAAAAGCTTTTGGTTTATGTAGCATTTAATCATCAAAGTCATTGACTTCAAGAAGGAACACTGCCTTGGAAAGCGGATGTCATTTGGATGAGGGGTATTTGAGTGAGTCGTCTCGCCTTTTCTCAGATCTGGAAAAAAGCAGGAATACTTCAACCCACATCTCCCAGCTTCCTACAGAAATCCTGCTGAGATTCTTCCATTTCTTGGGCCCTGAGGATCTGTGTCGCTGTAGTCAGGTGTGCAGCTCCTGGTCAGAGCTGGCCAAGACCGGTTCTCTGTGGAGGCACCTCTATCCGGTACGCTGGGCAAGAGGTATGCTACAGCTTCAGATAGCTTTCACTTTTGGTACCGTTACCTAGCTTAATGGATTTGGTTATACCGTAAATCCTCTAATAGAGGCCCGGGCCTGTATTTGACTCAAGCTCATCAAGCTCCGGGCCTTTATTGGAAGGAGGGCCAGAATTAGAGGCAGGCCTCAATTTCTATTTGAGCAAAATGAACTAATGGTTCGTTGGAGTTTTTGACAATTAAAATTGCGCCCACATTTTCAAAGTTAAACACATTTCTTTTAACAACGGTAGTTTCTGCTTCAGCCCTCTCCCCCCTCCCCCTGCTTCAGCCCTCTCCCCCCTCCCCCTGCGCAGCGGCCGCAAACTCACTGATGCGCCTGCAGCCTCTCAGAGTTCCTGCTGCTCTAAACATTAAAATAATTATTTCATTTTCTGTTCCTCACTTCTGATTACCTTCAATGGTGTCTGTTTGTTGCAACCAGCAGGTACAAAAACTAACTTGTTTTTATTTGACTATTTTTCTGTCCTGTCTGTTTATTATCTTCCTGCATCTCCTCTCAATCCTAAAGAGAAACTGCTACCTGGGTTCATATATATTCACCTTATGAGTTACCATTGAACTGCAGTTCTAAAAGATCTACCGACCGCTAAAACAGCGGAGTGCTCGCCGGCCGCATCAGTGATCGGTGCGTCACCGGAGGACAAAACCGGTGATGCGCCCCGCTCCACAGCAGCGAAACGCATCAGGCACAAATAAAACAATAAAAGACAGAAAACATAAAAGGAAATGAGCCGACATGAACGATCGCGTGTAAATTAGTTTTTTGAGGTGGCGACACCTGATGTGATAATGTTACTGTGGCCGTGCTCAGGACGCAGATGTCTGGAGCGCGTCATCAATCAGAGCTTTGCATGCGCAAGCTGGTTAAGGTTAGGATGGGGGTGAGGGGAAGGTTAAATTGCAAGAGGGTAAAGGTCACAGTTTGGTTAAATGTCCGTTTTACGGCGGGTGTCGGTACCGACGCTCTGACACAGCACGTTGCCTCCCGACGCACTGGAGCTTGTCACCTGCTGACAGCAGGCTGCTGTCTTTTCCGTGGACTGCATCTTGCCGGTCATTATCACGTGACAGCGACTAGTCGATGACAGGCATAACAAGTCACTATAGAGCGGTGAAGTCGACTAGTGACTAGTTCACACAACCCCTGCTACTGCTCCCCAGAGTGTTCTGCAGCATAATCAGCACGTTCTCTTTGAACTTGATATCAAATTTTCGCCTCCTCTTCGTCTCCGCACGGTTAAAGTTACCCTCGCGGTCTATCGCTGGCAAATCAAAAGTGAGACGATGTCACAACCGTCCCCCTGTGGTACTTGCTTGTTACCACATTCCACCCGGCCACAATAAAAAACCGGCCATTATTCACCTCCGCTGACTCTGACACCGGCCAAAATACGATACCCGGCCTTTAATTGAATACAGGCTAATATTAGAGGATTTACGGTTACTACTAATATGTATTTAAAATAAAAAGGCTTTCCGACTCAGACATATGCTGTTTTCATACACAATAGTTTTTTATTATTTCTTTGCTGTGTAACGTTTCAATAGTTACATCTTACGCAATGAACCATAAAATGTAAGATTCCATAGGAAATATGAAATCAATCTGACGGATCTTAGAATATTTCTTTTACCAGAAGATTGGAACTTTTTATTGCAGGGATTAGATAACACTTCATATTAACCCAGAGACCAGAGAGAGACAAGTTTTATAGTTTAAGAAGATTTATTTCTAAATGATTTAAAACGAGGCTAACTAACTCTAAACACTGTGTGATGAATGGATCTAGGTGTGAATGAGACAAGATGGATGGTGTAATGTGGAATGTTGATATCAGAACTCTCGTTTTCAGAGAAGCATTAGTTCTGTGTGGGAGCGAATGTTTTGCTCTGAACTACAGTCGGAGTTTCAAAACCACATTCAGAAGCCATATTGCCGCTCTACATAGCCTTGTCGGAGACCTCCGTTTTAGATCCAGAATGCCAGGTCCTCGGACCCCCTTTTGGTACCGGAGCCGATGAAACGGCGTACGGTACGACAGACTAGTCTTGGAGTGCCTCCAGGCAAGCGACAGGTGGTTGACGGCGTCAGCGGGACCCTGAAGGGTCAGTGAGCTCAGCTTTACTCTGAAGGAGCGTTGCGTTCAGGTGTAGCTTGCAACAGGTTTTATTATCCAGCTTGTCGAGGTTCTTTGTGGTTAAAAAGTTACGAGTGGCCGGCTCGAAACTCCAGAACGTTTAAACTCTGAGTTAAGGGTGACGTGGGAATTAGTTTTATAATTCAGATGTTTTGATTAATGGTCGAATCAGGATTTGACAACAAAAGGGTGTGGTATAAACACCACGCAAAGCCACGCCACGCGTCAGAACGAAGCTCTGATTGGATGAGAAACGGGTAATGTGTCATGTGACTTTAGCATTATGTGTGATCAGTCTGGTGTCTACTTTAAAGTTATATTACTTATTATATACTATCATAGGATTATAATATCAAGTAATTAATATTATCATTTCACAGATTGAACATTAGGCTTCACATGATTATTTGGACTAACAGACGTTATTGAATTATTAAAAAGAAGAGTAGAGTCTTCTGTCTTGGTCTTGAGCTGGAAAGGAAGTGAAGCAGTTTAGAGTGAGAGGCATGAGACCTTGAGGGATTAGGTTATTGAGGGAGACTGTCTCTCCAGCTTGAGCAGAGCAGCATGACCTTTAGGTCAGAAAACAGTCGTTTCATTCTGCTACAGCTGTGCAGCTGGTAATGTTGTGTTTGTGCTTTTAGGTGATTATTATAATGGTCCTCCTGGGGATCTTGATCATGAGCCTGATGAGGAGTGGGTGAAGAGTCGGCAGAACGAGGTTCAGGCCTTCCAGGAGTGGGACGAGGACGCTGATGTGGATGAGTCGGGTGAGGGTTTGATGTCTCTGCGGCTGAAACGGGTTGCAGAGTGGGATGTGGTTTTCATGTAGGGTTGTCACGGTGTGAAAATGTAACCTCACGGTTATTGTGACCAAAATAATCACGGTTTTCGGTATTATCGCGGTATTTTTTTAAACGTGCTACATTTTCATACAATTAAATAAACCCTGTATATCAGGAAATATTGTCCTCAGTTTGTGTCTAAATTTTGTCTAAAATGTGTTATTTTGTAATTATGTTGTTTGTTTGTTTACATTTTCCCCTTTAGTCTTTAAAACACCAATATTTGCCCATAACTTCTTATTTTTTGTCTGTTTGATGTCATCATTTTAAAAATATTAGATCAGATGATACTCAGTACTCAAGTAGCCTTCTAATCAGATACTTTTTTACCCTTACTTGAGTAATAAACCCTATACCAGGAGAATATTGTCCTCGGTTTGTGTTCTTCCAGTGAGCTTTGCAGATGTGGGGAAAATGTCATCAGGCAGTAATCGTTGTTAAATTCATAATTATTCTCGGAGAGAGACCAACTCTTATCTGCCCCTGGGAGCCCCGTAATGCATAGCGTCATTTCAACATGGCGGTGTCCGCGACACGGTTTATATGCAGGTAGCGGCGCTGCGGCTGCTTTATATAGCGACTCGTTGCATTCTCCCTCAACCCAAATCCTCGGATCACGCATTTTAGCTAAAACGCTAACGTTAGCTTGCCTTGCGTTGACTGTAGAGTTGTGGGAGATGGTCACGCAGATGTGTCATGAGATTTGAAGCGTTGCTGCCTTTCACAGACACTTTTTCTGCACCTGCTGCAAACAGGATAGCCGTCTTCTATCAGCTGTCCCTCGGCATTCTTCAGATATCCAAAAGATGCCCGTACTTCCCACTTTGTCTTCTTTGAGGGATAATAAATGTCCTGAGCGCTGCCGTCTCCTCCTTTGGCCGTTATTTCAGCTTTAGCTTCAAGAAAGTTTTGGTTGTAAACAACAAAGTGCGCATGTGCTGCCGGCAACTTCAGCAGATGATACGGTGGCTGGTAAGGGTCACCGCGCCTACACCGCAGCCACGGTAATCCCACCGAGATAATATAGTTTTATAAAAACAAGACGGTTATTGTTATTGTCAACTTCTTTACCGGGGTTTACCGCTACACCGGTTACCGTGACAACCCTACTTTCATGTAAATGTTTTGTACTTGTTTTCGATAAAAGCTGTTCAGTATTTTTAAATTGGTATTGAATGAAGCTTTAGTCTGTCGGTCTAAGGGTCATAGCCCTGAGGTAGTGAAGGTGTCCTGTTGGGTAGTAATAAAGAAAATGTTGTTTCCAGATGTTTCAGGTCCCACTGAAGGATCACTTGCAATCAGCACCGCTCGGAGAGAGAAGAGGCTCCTGAACGGGATTATCCAGAACCTTCTTCCAGCCATTGGTGCATCTGTCAAGTCTGTTATTCTTGCATACAGTTCTACAGTCTCAAGTAAAATGGTATGCTGCACTAAACCTTTTATTTAATCAATTCAAATAAACTACAAATGCATTTGACTTAAATATAATTATACAATTTATGCCTGATTTTTACAGATCCGTCAAATAATCCACCTCTGCCCCAATATTACTCATTTGGACCTGACTCAGACAGATGTGACAGATTTTGCATTTGACAGGTAAAATTTTAGCTGAGATTCTTACTGCTGAGATGGCACAACGTCCGTAATAGTTACGGTCAGGTTGCTTAACTAGAGCGGTGTCCTCTCCGTTCCTCCTTTTCCAGCTGGTCTCATCTGGGAGCCTGTCACTCTTTGGAGCACCTGGACTTGTCCGGGTGTGAGAAGATCACCGATCACACCTTGAAGAAGCTGGCTGTTGGGATGGAAAATATCACATTCTCAACCTGCTCTGAAAAACATGCAGATCGACGAGCTACGTTGCCTAAAAGTTCCCCAATACCCATCAGGCTCATGGATGAGAGAAACCTGCAAACAGTCCGGCGGAAACGGCAGGCCATCATCTTCAAGCATGGGACCAGCCGCTGGGGCACGGCTTGCATCCCGACACAAGTCTGGGTTGTGGACACGTCGGACCTTGCTGACATTGAGGACGCTGCGGAGTGGAGCCATCGAGGTGGAGTGACTCTGACTGAACGTTTTTCTGAGACACAGCTGGTAGGAGGCTCATGCTGTTGCAGAAGGAGCACAAGACACAGGACTCGCTCCGATTCCTCCTATTTGCATCGGCAGTATGCCATGTCAGGGGAAGTGTTTTGTGGTCACTCTACCTGCTGCTCCAGTGACTTCAGGACTTTTACTGGGCCCCAAAATGGGCCTGGCACGGCAGAACTGTGGACTACATGCTCGCCGTTAGGGAGGCAGCAGTGTCTGGAGCTTGAGAACAGGACTGAGTGCTCAAAGGCAAAGAGATCACTGAAATTCCTCAGCCTCTCTGGATGCTACCAAATCACTGATTTGGGCTTAAGGTGATTAGTCCTTTGTTTCAGTGAGGTGTTGATATAAAATGATGTTTTCACTCAAAATTAATCAGTTCAGTTTACTAGACTTTGATTTTTCTGGAGGTTATAAGTGCAGGATCAGTAGAAGTGGTGAAAAGCCTTTGGTGTCACTTATCTCTCTCACACACACACACACACACACACACACACACACACACACACACACACACACACACAGTGTAGAATCAAGTGTGGTGGGATTCAGCTGGCTAAATTAAAGATGCATTGGGCATTCTCCTCATGTCATATTTTACTGAGCTGCTATCTTGAGTCAGATTAGAGTTGCTGCAGGTTAGTTGCTGCAGGTTAGTTGCTCTAATCTATCATGCAGCTCATTTGAGGCTAAGTCAGCATTAGCAGAGTCCATACTGGTTTATTATGTCATGAGGTTTCACGGCCCTCCTGTGTTTCAGGTCCTTATCTCAACACGGAGGACTTCCTGTCCTGGAGCATCTCAACCTGTCTGGCTGCCTCTTCATCACTGAGGTGGGGCTGCAGGAGCTGGTGTCAGCCTGTCCTTCTCTCAGTGATGAACACTTCTATTACTGCGACAACATTAACGGTAACACGAGCAGAACCGCTGGAGGTTGTTTATTTTGTCCGTTTGGGAGCTCACCTCATCTGATCATGGAGCTTTGTAAATGTTTACCTGTACGGCTTCATGACTAAATGATCAGTGAGTGGAGCGATGGTGTTGTGCAGCAGCTGTAACAGACATCACTAACCACTCGTGCAGTGTGTGTTCGAGTGTAATGCTGCTGAGAAGGAAGGTAAGTAGGTACCGGTGTAGCTGGAATGATGCTTCCCCCAAACACTCAGCCCTGCACCAGTTACAGTGCTGTCATACACTGGTGTGAAAACCTGTTTGCCCTCTTGCAGATTTCTTCTGGTTTAGATGTTTTTGTCACACTTGAATGTTTCATATGAGTAGATAAATGTCAGCGTCAGACACGAGTAATCGGAGTAAAATCGGCTTTCAAATGATTTGATTAAGGGGAAAATATCCATCTCAACAGTCCATGAGATGGTTCCCAAAGCACAAAGGCCCATCTGGCATGTTCCAACAACATCTTGGTTATCTCCCAAAAATATTCCGTGAGTGAGAAAGTTAGGGATGCACCGATGGATCAGCATTTGGTCCCAATCGGCCGATAGCGCCCCTATCGGTTTTGATCTGAGTTTTCAAAATAGATCAAAGCAGACCGACAGACCATTTTAGATTAGGTTACATTTCCTTTATTCCCAGATTATGTAGTTTGTAGCACTCATTATAATGTTGTAGAAAATTTCTGGCCAATCCACGTGATCGGTATCGCTGATCGGCAGCAAAAAACCTGATCGGTGCATCCCTAGACAAATAAAAGTGGAACAAACAACCATTCAGAGATGAAACTGTCATAATAAGGTATAATGATGTGTTTGAATGTTTCCTACCTGTGGGACAGCAGATAATCCATGTGTGGCGTTTCTCTTCAGGTCCTCATTCAGACACAGCCAGCGGATGCCAGAACCTGCAGTGTGGTTTCAGAGCCTGCTGCCGCTCCGGAGAGTGACCCGGTCAAGCCCTTCTCCCCGTTATTGCACTTTATCCTAAGAATACCATTTGCTGTATTTTGCATCACCTAAAATGTTTTCAGATCAAACTGCATTATTGCTCTTATTAGTTTTTGATTTGGTGAAGAGACTGGGTAATGATGGGTATGATAAGTGCAAGAGCACATTCTGTTTTGGAAAAGGTAAAAGTCATCTGGAGACGGGAACAAAGTACTGAAGCATTCCTGTTTTGTCACTAGAAGAATCCTGCGCTCTTACTGGTCGGGCTGCTCTGCAGATCAACGATGGTTCTTCTGGGACATGAATGGTTATTGTTCTGCACTCGGATCAGCCGACGCTCTGAACTCAGGCAGCTAGTAGAGGGTGTACGCAGCTACATTTATGCTTTAGACTTGTAATTGGTATTTGGGTCCTGAAACATTTAGTTTTCATGCACTCCAGTGGGCCAAAAGACTGACACCCAGAGATCTGACGAGATTAGACCTAGAGATGCTCCTGGAGCGGTTTAAAGATTTGGAATAATCTGTCAAGCTGCTTTTTTCATACATGTCCAGGTTGTTTTTCCTTGTAAAGCCTTGCATGAGCTCCACTGTAATTGTTGAACTATCAATAAAAGTGAGCGGTTAAACACAGCATTGATCCATTTTTATGGGGAAAAGGGGAAATAATCCAACTTGAGTATATTTTGGTTATAGCATTGAGACATTTTAATATAACACATCTGAGTTGACATGGCTGGGAGTTTTTGTTCACATGTTCTTTGTGTTCCTAAATGAACTTCTGTAGTATGTTGCTGGAATTAAATGCAAACTTGGGGCCAACGGTACAACTTACATCTTTTATTAAACCAGAGGTGGGTGACTGCAAACTTAAAATTCATTTACATATATTACAAAATACAGCTTCAAATATTGAAGTATAAAATAGTGTTTGCAAAAACATTCAAATACAAAGAAGTTCTCTCATGGGCGGGTGAGGGAGGCCAGGTACACCCACACAGAGAGCACGTAGCTAGGGTACGGATGCACATACACAGCCAGAGCAAACTCCACGTTGGACACCTGGACGTTGTGAACTCCAGTGCTGTACACTGCCTCTATGATGGGACGAATCTCAGAGAATGGCATGTGCAGGGGGAATCCTGCAATCTGGAAATGAGATGTCACACCTGTCAGCTTCTGAGGGAGCATAGAGACTTCATTCGTTAGTTGCACGTTACTCTGAAACCTCTCCTCTAACTCACCCTGTAGTCTCCCAGCAGGTTCTGCAGCTCGTGGCGATGCGCCTTAGCCACATCCTGTCCTCTGCTCAGCTCCAGTTTGGGTAGGAATTGCTTCAGGATGCTGTTGCAGTACCGGTTCCAGCGAGTAGGGTGACGAGGACGCCACTCCATGACCTTCTCCTTCAGAATCTTCTCAATTCTACTCAGATCAGAAGGAGTCATGTTTTAGTCTGTAGTAGTAGGCACAGAGTTAACCGCTGGTGCTATTACTCACCTGTCCTGAAGGTCAGAGGCAGCTGCTCTGTCCGTGTGGAAGTACACCAGCTCCTCTGGCTGGAGGGTACATTAAATTAGAGGAACAGGAACACATGCATGATTAGAAATAAAAAATAACTCCTACCTGCACACTAGACAGCCCGGGGTGGGAGAAGGAGCGAGAGAAAAACGGTTTCCACCAGCTGGTGTTTGTGACGTCAAAGCTCATATTTACTGGTGATGCTTTCTCTTGAATGTTGAACCAAACCTAAACAGTTATGGAAACACGGATCCTCTGAAGATGTTATAAAAGGAAGTTAATGTGCTCTAACTCAGGCTATTTTAATTCGTCCTCACTCACATTGTCAGAACTGACCAAGCAGCCAATCGTTTGGAGAGGGCAGAAGGTGTCGTCTCTCTCGAAGCACTGGCCACTGCTAGGGTTCCAGATGAAGAACCCACTGGGCTCGTGGGTCAGAACGTAAGCTGTAGGTCCCTGAAAGCCGTTAACAACCATCAGTGTGTCTATTCAAACTAACGTCAGTGTTAGTATGTGAAGGTCGCCCACCTCTGGTATGGCCGTGCCCATTATGAGCCAGGCTTTCTTGCCCAAAAACAGAAAGTAGTTGCACAACAGAACCGCGTGTTCTTCTTCATCTCCTGCTAGCAGAGTCAGGAATTGCTAAAAAACAAAAAAGCACCTAATCATCAAAAAAGCATTTCCCTGACTCGTTTGATCCCGTCTCAAAGATGTTTCACTCACATCACAGGTGCTCCACAAGTCACAAGGCCCGCAGAAGGAAAGTTCATCAGGCAGAGACGGGATGAGGGAGACGTATCGAGCCACCAGCGTCTGTCAGGACAGCGAAAGTGTTCATTCAAGTAGAAACACGAGTATCATCTGAATCCAGCACCATCACACAGACCGTGGCTTCCTGAGGGTTATTAGGAAATGCATCAAGGAACTCCTGTGGAGGTTTGAGGGGTCGGATGTAACGAGTGATGAAAACAGTTTTCCCATTCAGGTCTATGACTGTAGTGATGCAGGGTCGGTCTGGATACCGCAGAGCTGCAGCCCTCTCAAACGTCTCTGAAGCCTGCAGAAGTCGCTCATCCTCTTGACTCTCAAACTGCATTAAAGAGCAGAAGTTACAGCACGACACAGGCAGGCACCACGCAAGAATACTTAAATAGAAACGAGGCGAATAACGCTGTTACCGTCATTTCCTTTATCTAGTGCATGCAGAAGAGCAAAGGCCATCAACGTTCAAATGAATAAACTCATGTTACAGAATCCTGACTGAACAGGTTGTTTCAAAATTAAATAGTTAAAAAACCAGAGCCAACAGACACGCATGTAAAGAAAACAGCAAAGCAGCAAGAGCTCCTGCAGCTCGTCACCTGACAGACCTACCTTCTCCCTGATGGCCTCTCCAGGCACCAGCTGGGGCTCCATAGTGATGAAGAGTCGGATGAACGTTCCTTCGTTTGGTTTCCTGAAATGGTCATAAGCAGCAAAGCTGCCATGCTCCTTGCTGTATCCAAGCAGCACAGCTGGAGTGTTCACTCTGAATGCTCCATCAATCTGCCGGGTACCGAAAGCAAAATCAGCAGCAAGTATGAAAAAGTTTCCGTTTGCAGAAGCAACTCTTACCCTGGACTGAGAGTAGATGGTGCTGAAAGGAATCTTGACCGAGCCCAGCCAGTGCTTCTCTGTTTGTGTGTGAACAGACGGCCTCCTCTCTTTGTTGCTCTGTGGAGCAACACCATAAATAATTCAATAAGCGAGGCAGCTATGCATGTGGGGGAGTGAGAACCCGCCCGTGTTTACTCACCGCTGCAGCTTCATGAACCACTTCATCAAATATGTTGATGAAGACTTCATCTTTGACCGACTGTAGGCCCGTAGTGCTGTAGTCACCGTTAGGAGCGCTGCAGAGGACACGACTCCCAAGTCAGCTCACTCATACACGACTCTGTTTTCTACTTACTGCACAAGGAGCTGTGTTTTTAGCTACCCTGGAAGCTGCTTCCTGTGGATGGAAATGTGTGATTTTTTTAAGACACCTGAAAGGCAGCTGCAGCTCCTCGTTCCAGCTGGGGTTTGGGCCGTCAGCCGTGGTTGTTTGAAGCACCGTGCGCTGGAAGGACACCTCCACGAATGGCTTCACCTGTACCTGAAAAGGTTTAATGTCCTTTCATGCCTTTCACAGCAGTTTTAAACTGAAAGCATCTTAAGGGTGGCTGGTTCATGAGAAACATTCCAGCTGGAAAGCAGAATTCTGGTGTACGCTACCTGGCTGATGAACCACTCGCTGCCCTGGATGGCGCTCTGAGAAGACTGTCCTGGTTTACTAGAAACATAAAAGTAGAATCAGCATTTACCTTGTTGTCTCCTGTAATTAAAGCACTTCTGCTCAGATAGAAATGAGCCAGTGAGATTTAACGCTCCACTCGCTTGCTGTGCGGCTTGCGGACTGGGATGTTGTGGGCTCGGATGATGTTGATGAGCAGTCTGACGTCTCCGTCCGACAGATTCTGAGCCGTCACTTTCTTTCTCTCCTTCCTCTGAGGTTTGAGTGGCCGTTTGGGTTCGGCCAGCTTGAACAGGTTAAGGCCCAGAATCCTGTAGCGGCATCAAGCATGCAATCACAAAGCTGCTGGTTCTAAATAACATCCAACTGATTCATGAGTCAACATTCATTTTACAGAATACATTTGAAGATGGGCTTGTTAACTATTAACAGTATTCAGTACTTCCTAGTATTTGCATTTTTACAGTCACAGTCAGTACTGATTTTCACATGCGCTGATGGGAAGAACTTAAAATGAACCAGTGATGTGGAAATCCTTTTCCTGCTCTGAGATGCTGCGATGATTAATCTACAGCTACGTTTAAAATCTGTGCATTAACCTGTAAATGGGATAAAAATGCCAGAGCAAAAGGCTGACAGACAAAACAGATAAAACAGATAAACAGTACTTTGTTACGACCCTTTTGAGCAAAAACGCTCCTGCTAATTCCAGAAAGGACTGAATACTGCAGGAGGTCTACGTCACTACTGCTCTGATGGCTGGGTTATAACTAGAAACACAAAAGGGGATAAAGTGAAATACTAAAGAACATACCCTGAACCTGCACCACTGTAAACATTAATAACAGCAGAAACATGGAAAAGGAGAGTTAAAGCTTTCAGTACTGGACAAAATACCTAAAGTAACAAATAATCAGAGGGGCTGCTGATGATCCCAATAAGCATCTGCACTAAATGTTTCTAATAAATATTTACTAGTTACACGTCCTAACCAAGCCCTCATAATTCGGGTCTGGAAATGAAGCAAAACAGGAAGTGAAATAAATTGCAGTTCCACCCTCATCCACTAGGGGCTGGTGTCAGAAGCGAGCAAATCCTCATTGACTCCCATGTTAAAAATACCAATTTCACAGCAGAAATAAACATGTTTACAGCCTGGTACCAGAACATGTTTTTGGTTTAAATGATCTAGTTTACACTCATGACAACTCTGAGGGGGGTGAATGTTTTTCTCACTCTTCTGTTTAAGTGTATTAAAAGCCTAAAATTCTGTATAATTAATGAGCCTCAGACCCACGTGACCACAGAGCTAGCTCCGGGGAAAGGCCTCAGTGGAGCCTCGGTCTGGCCTGGAAACTGCTCCAGGATTTTGAGTCTCTCAACTTAGACCATTAGTTGTAGCGTGTGTGTATTCTTGTTTGGATATTATTTGTGCAATTGTTGGACAAAATGACTTGCTGTGGCATTAATTGCACTAATAGAGCGTCCAAGGAGTCTCCACTTCATTGTTTTCGGTAAGTAAAATTGTATTTATGTATTTTAGGTCACTGCCGAGCTGAGCTTAGATGTTAACATGTACTGTTTAACCATGAAATGTAAATGTAATAGGGTAAAACCCAGTGCATTTAACATAATGCTGCACTTTAGAAAATGGGCTGAAATAAGACATGTTGGTGGAGCTGGGTTCCCACTATCGGTATGGTCCTCTCCCCCCAGCGGCAGCTCGGCGCATCTCTGTCTGATCGCGGCACCTGTCTGCTGCGTGGGCTATCGGCTTGTGGAGCTCTCGGAGACCTCTGTGTTCCACCCGGTTTTACCCAGCGGTCAGCCCGGCGTATCTCTGACTCAGAAGCTCTGGTGTTGTGCACAGTTAACTCCGGTTGTAGCTAGGTAGCTACCTCCGTTAGCTTAGCTCCCACCTCCGCGTTAGCTTTAGGTTAGCTTGTAGCGACATCGCTTCAGTTCGACGGGTGTCGTCATTTGATCCCAGCCTTGCTGCCCCACCCTCAGCTCCACCTCTTTCCCCTTTTATGGAATTGTCTGGGTTTGACGGAACCTGTGACACGGTCAAAATGGCGGTGGTGGCCACCTCCCACTTTGGCACAAAAACGTGTTACTGGAGCCTTTGGACACAAATTGTCCAGTATGTATGTTGATGGTCCTACTGTGAGAGACCTAGCTTTAACATAATCGTCTGAATTCAAGAGGAGAACTCTTGCTGTGTGAAGATCAATCAGAGGAAAAGCTCCATGAGAGGAGATGTACTTACTTCAGTCTGTGCCAAACGCTGACTCTGCCCCTCTCCCAGCTGAGCTGACTGTGACGACGAGAGCCCTGACCTCTGTGGTACCAGCTATCTAACCTTGCCTTTTCAACTACAGATGGGAACTGTGGCTTTGCCTGCACCTTTGCACTCATGTTAACAAAAGGAACACGCAGAGGTTTAACAGGAGTTATAAGATCAAACGTGTTTATCTAACACAACATGACCAGATCAAATGGAGAAGAAAGTCAGACTGCTTAGTCTTCTGGAGGGTTTACCCAATGCTCGGGATCTCCTCTTCCACCACCAAGTCTGACAGCAGGTAGTGATGTTTGGCCTGAATGAATCGGTTGATGACGGATTCTCGTATCTGTGGGGAAACGGAAGGATCACAGTAAACTAGACGCTGTTCTGTTTTTAAAATTAAAATTCTAACATGTGTGCCTTCTTACCTTCTGAAGATATCTGGCCACCAAAGCTCTGTGAGAATCCAAATGCTCTTCCTTGTTGATTATCTCTTCATCTCTCAGTCGTCTGTCATATTCCTAAAACATTCCAGCCAAAGTGAATGAAAAGAAACCTCCATCCTGCGTGTTCTGATGTGTGTATCTGCCAGACTCTGACCTTGAACACCTCCTCTGACGTCTCACTGGAGAACGCAGGAACAAATTTGTAGTTGCGGAACTCGGGGACTCCCTGGTGCCTCAGCCTGAGCAGGCGGAATCGTTTGGATTTCTCCATCTCTTCATCAGTCGCAAAATTAAATTCCTCCTGCAGGTGTTCCAGACGGAAGTAGTCCGGAGCGGTCACCTCCCCGCTGCTGGCCACCTGTCAACACACCAACAGCTTCCTCGTCACAGCCGGGTTCCTTTTGAGCCATCTTCAGCACCAACAGAATGGTTCTGCTGCTCACCTTTAGCAGCTGCATGATGGAGGCATTGTTTGGATCATTGGGATCCAGTCGTGACTGTGTGGCCCACTCACTAATCTTCTTCATGTCGTACAGTCCAGATGCACCGATATAAGTGACTGCGTCCAGATGCCCCAAACCACTGAGACATCGGGTTGATTAGAGTTAACATCACAGAAACAAAGCCTGCTCAGGTGGCTTGCTAGTGTAGGCGAGCACAAATGTTTAGAGCCAAAGTCAATGATGGACTCTTCTGTGTCACGGGTGCTCTGTGGGATTTACTACTGCTGGAAAACTGACACCTGGGACCAGTTGCTCCAAACCTTTTCTTCCTGGTCACTTCAGCAGCATTCCCAAAAGTCACGAGCGCTAAACCTTTTCCTAAAACATTCAAAGAATCTTGAAGCTTCCATACGTCTTTCTGTGAGGAGCTGAAGGCATGTCTAAATATCAGTAACTAAAGCAGGAAACACACGTCCTCCTGAAACCTGGGCCGTGTAACTGGGTTGTTTCATCTGCAGATGAAATATTTTATGGCTCCACATTTCATCATTTTCCAACTCCAACATCTTTATACCACATGGTGTTCATAGTGTTTGCTAGTTGCTGTACTTCTAGACTAAATGCTGTCTTACAGGAAAACACAACAGATTTATGAATAATAATAATAATAATAATAATGCATTGAACTTATATAGCGCTTTTCTAGACCCCCAAAGACGCTTTCACACACTCTCACATTCACACACTGCTAGTGATGGTAAGCTACTTGTAGCCACAGCCGCCCTGGGGAGGTCTGACAGAGGCGAGGCTGCCATTTGGCGCCGTCGGCCCCTCTGACCACCACTAACACAGGCAAGTTGGGTGAAGTGTCTTGCCCAAGGACTCAACAGCAGGATACCCCTGGCGGGAGCTGGAATCGAACCCATGACCCTCCGATCATGAGGCAACCCGCTCTACCACCTGAGCTACTGCTGCCCCAAATCTGAATGCAGCCTTTCCATTATTATTCTATTCTCTGCAGTCCAAAAATCACAGTAAGTACAGTCAAACACACGTGTGTGTATAGCAGCGTTTCTGATGCATGCACTCACACACTCAGTAGATCAGTGTAATTATGACTACGTACATCTGTGCAGAAAAACTTTGATCACACCTGTGATCGTCAGAGATCCCAGTTTAAGAACCCCACTGGTAAAGAATCTAAACCAGTGGATCTCTCCTAGAGAGACTACCTGTGTGCAGCACCTAGCTGCTGGGAAACAGGAGGAGCGCGCGGTACATCATCTTCCCCGATCCCCCAGGAAACGCAGCATGCCAGCTTCCCAGAGGTCAGCAGGATCACTTTGTTGCTTCCATCAGGCTCAAAGGACAGCGGCACATCTGAGGAGGCGCAGAGCAAGGAAGGACAAGGAGGGTCATGAAAATGTCCCATGCCCCCATAAAATCCAGTTTATACTTGGACAGAGACTAGAGTTGAGATTAAAACCTTAAAGGGACAGCTCAGAGGGTCTCAAGTGAGATTTCGTGAAAAGGATAAACAGTTGGCATATGTCCTGTTAAAGGTAACTATTTCAGTTTTCAGGAACACAGGTCAGTTCAGATCGATGAGCTAACAGCTAGTATGAGTAGGGCCAATTACAAAGTGTTTGTGTCATCTTTAAACAACACTAATCTAAAACACTAGCAGCTCATGTAAGTGCTATTTCATAAACATTTACATCACCATATATTTTATATTAAACAGCTAATCACATCAAACTCAGCGGTGACTCTAAAACTAAGGAGACCAGTTTCTTCCTGGCTTGAATTTATGACATTTCAGCCAGAAAATACTTCAAATGTGAAAAATGATGGCATGGTAAAGGTTATAAAATAGCATCTGCATAAACTGCTGTGAAGTTTTAGGAACGTTTGTAAATGTTTAGTCAAAACCAATCTCTGTTACTCCTAACTGAAGCTGTTCATAGCTACAAGTAAGACGTCGATTGATCGTAACATTTCAACAAAACCTCGCTTTAAGAGACTTGAACTACTGCTTAGTTCAATCATTTCTGACAGTCCTAAACTATAAATCTGCAAGTTTTAAGATCTTTCAGACTCTGCCTTCATTTTTGAAAGTTCTCATTCAATCATTTGTTCTATAAATCTGCCGAGGCCTACAGTATGGATTAAAATGTTGTATGCTGTTTAGTGTAGAAGCTGTGTGTGTGTGTGGGTGGGTGGCGCAGCAGGATTTGGAGACTTACTCATTAATATTCATGATATGCCAACATCTTGCCTCTGATTGGCTAACAGTAACTTGACTCTTCTGCTGCCTTCAATCCTTCTTCTTACTTGGGTAAAAAATGATGATTTCTCTCCACAAACAACACAAGCCTGAAGAGGTTCTGCCACGTTGTGAAGATGCTAATGATTAGCTTCTACTAGCTGACATGTGCTCTGCTCTCTCCTGGATGCTAAATCAATACAGCTTTTCTGTGGGTGGTGGCAAGCCAAGAAGGGCGAGGCAGTTTTCCCCTGTGACGTAGATCTGTACGGCTTTACCACACAGTCTGTTTTCTATCGGCAGAGTAATGCAGGAAATAGGGGTAGAAACTACAGGTGCTGGCCAGTAAATTAGAATATCATCAAAAGGTTGAAAATATTTCAGTAATTCCATTCAAAACGTGAAACTTGTACATTATATTCATGCAATGCACACAGACCAATGTATTTCCAATGTTCATTACATTTAAATTTGATATTCATAAGTGACAACTAATGAAAACTCCAAATTTGGTATCTCAAAAAATTTGAATATTCTGAAAAGGCTGAATATAGAAGACACCTGCTGCCACTCTAATCAGCTGATTTACTCAAAACACCTGCAAAGGCCTTTAAAAGGT